AGCGTGAGGACCAGGAATTGCAAGAGCGCCAACGACGTGAAGAGGTGAGCCATTGAGATCAAGAGGATTTCAGAAGTTTTGTTAAAATATTTGTCGTTTCATCAAACACACGCAAAAAGGATTTCCTCTGTAATGTCTTGATCATACAAGGAACAAGCAAAAGCCCTCTCAGCCTGTTTTCTTCTTGGTCGAAAAGTTAAGTTCGCCTCACTCCTTAGTAGAAATGATGTACAGAAACAAGTGTGTTGTGGAAAGGGGGAGGGAGGGGGGTGGCGGTGAAGCCATTCCCTGAGTGAAAGTCATGAGTGATAGAACTCAAATTCGTGTTTGGATGGGTTAAGCAAGTTGCTAGCTGAGATTCGCCAAAGTTAGAACATTAAGAATGAGGCCCCTTTTTGCTGCCGATTCTGAGCATCGGATAAGCATGCCAAGGACTGACCAGCACGGAGACATGTTAGCGTTGGTGAGGGGCCAGAGACGGAGGATGAGAGATTAGAAAGATGACAAAAAACACATTCGTTATTGAAGTTCAGCTGTGGGTGGTATCGGAATTAGCGGCCATTCTCTTCGAATTAGTAGATGAAATGGACATGAGCTGGAAAACTATGTACTACAAGTACAGTTGATCTTATACCAACCGCTGTTATTTCGACAACTCTGGGACTCATCAGTGAGGCAGGGGTGACATACAGACATAGGGATGGTCGTTAATATGGGAAGTTGTAACGTGGACATTCATGCGTACATAAGGCATGCTGCGAAATAACAGCAGAAGAAGAAACTGGAAGTTAGGTGAGGTTCGATGTAGGAATGCCCAGAAAGCAAAGATAAAGAAGTCGTGAAAGCGGCCCTGCGATTGCGCACTGAGTTACTTTATATAAGGAACGGTATCGCGAGAGAAGAATTCCTTTCTTTCTTCATCCTGGACAGTGTCTTCAATCCTTGTGAAATGACCGAGAGAAAAGTGAATGGCACCACCTACAAAAAAAAACAATTCTATAATCCCTACTAGATTTTTGTGTTTAAGTGTTCGGATATGACTTGGGCTTAGGTTGGGGAGGGGGCTAATCGCTTAATCAAATAAGATTATCTATGAGGTGTCCACAGAGAAGAACTTCTTGGTTTTTTTAGGAATCAAAGTCAGCAGGCACGAGAATTCCCTAAGTCGAGTGGGATTAATACGCCTGGCAGGACAGAATTCAGCCCTTAAGCAGGCGCTTGCGTAGCGCTGCTGTACCAAAGAAGGTACCCTTGTCAGGGACCCCATCAACTGTATCGTACCGTGACTGGCGCCTAAACCGCGCCACCCCGCACAAATGGACGACTGTACTTGTCTCGGATTTGCTCATTTCGCAGAAAAATATGAAGCGAAGGAAGTGGCCGCGGGTTAACTGCAATATATGAGTTAAATCTGCATCACGCAATCTACCGTACGGTCTGGTACGGTAACCGACGAAGAAACTCGTTCCCGAAATTAACTTCTGAGTCCATAGAGGAGAATGTTTCCTCTTTGACCGTTTCACTTCGTTTTTTCGCCATTTTCCCCGCACTCTGCTAGCATTTTAGACCGAGTACCAAATTATCGTGCCATATGCCTTCAAATATTTACAAAAGGCAGGAACGAAAATTGTCTTAGGATGATGTTTTGAAAGTTTTTCTTCTAGGAGGAAAGACAACGTCGCATTGATGAAAACTGGAAAAAGCAAGAAATGGAACATCCAGTCGATACGGAGCGACAACGAGCTGAAGAAGATGCGAATGAACGAGCCCATTTAGTGAGTGATTAAGCTAGGAGATTAATGGAATCATGCCGTATTACTAAGCCAAATGTCAAGCCAAATTTTCCATTCCACTACATGGGGATGAACTGTGTTATCGGGGCGCTTGTCAGGGGAGGCTTTCTTTCACTACTCGTAGCAGGCGTGCGACGTCTAACGGATGAGTGGGTTTTTGGCGGATATTGTCATCTGAAAATTACGTCAAATGAGTCGTATCGGAAAGTCTGGTAGTGGATGGTAAGAGTTCACTCCTTATTCCGTTCCCCCAGATAGTTCCTCCAACGTAATTGCGACGTCCTTCGACGTTTCGGTGAGCACTGAGTGGTTCAGATACATGGTGCTGAAGCTTGGTGAGCTGAGTTTTCTAAGGGAGTACGCTATCAGTAGGTGCAACTCAAGTGGAAATAATGGCATCTGAAAGATCCAAATGGGAATGCCTTAATGGCACGCCGCGCGTTCAGGAATGGTCAATGGTGAGGCTCAAATACTGGTGACAAGATGGCTACTGAGGCAAAAGTGAAGAAGAACGGAAATAGCAGCTCGGAATACCTCACATCGAACCTCATGTGGGACCGCATTTGTACTAAAGCGAAGAGAGGGCATAGTCGGACGGCTGCTCACATCTAGGTGCGAGCTCTTTCCTTTTATCACCTCACTCTCACCATTTGGAATGGGCAGAGTTAGGTGTAAAAACCGCACCATCAGTTAGTAGGTAAAAAAAAAGATGGGCCAGTGGGCGGGAGGTGACCTCGTCGTGAAGGGGTCGCACTTTCCTCACGTTTGAGCTGCGATAGTCGTACAGCCCCATGCTTGCGAACAGAACTACCATCTCCGAAAAAGGCGTCTGAACATTAAATGAGCGCGGAAAGTGCCTTTAAAGGCACTTCACTAAAGTTCTGGACTTATTCCCCGTGCACGGTTGGGTGGGAGAATCAGAAACGTCCTCTGATTATTAGTTTTTTCAGCAGAATCAAACGAAACGTCGAAGTGCTGGACCTGCGCCAGGGGCCGTTGCGATCATGCCAGGTGTTGCAAAGCCCATGACACCTAAAGAGCCACCACAGCCTATAGAAGAAGTACCGGTGAGTCTTATTTTTCTTTTGCCGACCACTTACATCTATCAGTCGCTACTGTACAGGAAGCTCCACATCCTGCACCTGTGTCTGTTCTGCCTCCCATTGGACACGGAGTTTCCCACACTCCATCGGTTCCACAAAACACTTTCAATCCTGCAAGTGCGTTTTCGCAGTACTGATTCGCTCATAGTGGTTTATTGGAATGATAGGGTAATTGCTTTGATCTTTTCAGCACTTGCTTGCGAACTTCGACGTCCTCCTTCCAGCGACGAGGAGGACAATGATGCAGACTGGGAAGATGAAGATGCTGCTAAGGTATTGACTTTGAGGTTTTATCGGGGTATCATTAGTGATCCATGTTGTGGGCGGTACCAAAGCGAAGGTGGCGTTGTAAATAATGTCATGTGCGATGCATGACTATCCTTGAATCAAAGTTTTTCAGGCACAGCCTCATGTAAGGCCAGCAGCAGCAGCTCCACCTCCTCCTTCGAATTCCTGTTGCTGAGGAGGTGAGCTATTGACCTTGTATTTTCAATTTTTCAGTATCTTTACAAACCTCGAGGAGGGGTGTGTCCTTGTGCGAATGTTGAAAGGTTGCGAGGCGCGCTTGCTGAGCAGGGAAAGGGCCCTACTAGCAACACTGTGAGCAGTAGAATATTCTGTTGGTAAAATTGGATGGCGCCGTGCTCTAAAGCATGGCCCGCGACAGGAAGCGTAAGTAATGTTTTTGGAATAAGAGAGAAAAGTTGCCAAAGACTCGTCTGTGAAGAGAAAATGCAAAAGGGAACTCGGAAACTCTCTAGTAGAACCCTTCTAGCGTTGAAGGCAAGCCGTGCACTCATTCGATAGATCCTGTTCATTGTCATATGTGAGGTGGAATGGGCCGCAGCTGCTGTAGCGTGCCATTTTCTTCACTCATGGCCGGGAATGAATGGAGATGGGGGGAGGGGGTGGGATAAATGTACCACTTAGCAATTCCATTAGTCTGTTCGCACTGTCCGCACAGCCAGCCAGCATTTGTGCCTGACCATATTTACTTATCTGAACCAACTCGCTTCTGGATCTTTTTCTGCCGCTAAATTCGTGTATCGCTGCGTGGCATCCACACAAATGCCACACATTGCGGGTAGCGCGGGCGGAGTATGAAAACAGGACCACGGTAGCGCTTCACTCCAGCTTCGTTCCCGAACTCTAGAAACTAGAAAATGGCACGCTACTAAAGGTGCGGACCCGTCTACCTGGCACACGGGATCGATCATTTCATGGAATTGAGTGTACAGTCTATATTTAGGCAACTTTACAGGGCGAAAAAGTAAGCGCATCGGGAAAAAACCCGGCTGATTTTCTATAGTGAGCCCTACCATACCGATATCAACAGTGGAGATTCCATTCCATCTAGTAGCATAGTTTTTCGATGGAGGCGGTCTTTGATGACAGTGTCTAGAGGCAGATTCCCTGGAAAAATGAGGTGTCATTGGAGGAACTCTGCTTTGGCACCGTTAACTTACAACTTTCCGCAACGCAGATATTCTCCGGCTTCAATCTTGCTGTAGCCTCGGCATCGTTGTTTACTGTAATTATACCGTTGTGGCTCTCGAGGTTTTCATTCAGAAATTTTTTTCGAGGTCCTAACGTCTCGACTCGGGTAGTATTCTTCGGAGGCCATGATTCCACCGTGATATGTACTAATCAAGCGAAAAAAAAACGAAATTCGCGGCTGAGTAGCATCATATGCTACAGCGGGCTTAACGTCTAAAACTCTGGCCTGTGAAGAAGACCACCACGTCGAAAATTGGGTCGCTGCATAAAGTTCTCTCCGAAAATCCTCTAGAGCCATTTACCTCTTGTTTGCCTGTAGATGACCTTGTTTTGTGAAACAATTTCCCCACCTAATTTTTCTTTCTGCAGCCGAAGTCTCATGCACCCACATCAGTGGTTGAACCTGCACCTCCTACGTTCTCAGCTCAACACGATTCACCACCTGATAACGTAAGTGACTGTTACTTCTCTTTCATGATAACTGTGTGAAACAACAGCAAACTACGAAATGCAAAAGGCTGGCTCTTCCCCCAAGAATTTCGTCAGCTTTTCCTAACAGTGGTTTAAATCAGCCAAGTAAGTCGCGGCGTGC